TTCAGTGATGATTCAGTTAATATCTATCATAGAAACAAAAACAACTAGATATTTCAAGCAGAAAGGGATTTAATATAGGGAGTTGGTTATCAATGGTATTGGAATACAAAATGGAAGGCTGTAGTTGAAAAAGTGTTAGGTTACCAGAGGTTAGGAAGTTGTTGCTTTTGGAGGTGCTCCCTAAATACAGATAAAGAAAAAAATGTTCCTTCCTCCGGCTTTTGGCTTTTCTTCTCCCAGCGGCAGAACCCCAGCTGGCAACCAGCTGGCACAGCACTGTTTTAAGTATTGCCTGCTTGCTGAAAGTAACCATAGCGAACCCTTGGTGTGTGTGTGTGTGTTGGTGGGGGGGTTGGGAGGGTGTGTGTGTGTTGTACCTTAATTAGATTAGGTGTTACTGGTGCGAAGCTAGGAGTTTGCAACTCATTTAAAAACTAAGCACCCAAAACACGACAGATCACTATACTTGAGAGCAAACAAAAGTGTTTTGTAATTTTGACAAATTAAAATTTAAAATGTTGTTTTCTTCTTATTTTATCTCTTTATACTTTTTTGTTTGTGTATACTTTATAATATGTATGCATATTAACAGTGTATTTTTACAATTTACAAATAGATATACATACATACAGTTTATGCTTTAAATTTTTAGCTGACGTACATAATCAAAATATGGAGTTAGCTAATGTGAAATATTCCTTCCAACTTCCTCCATCTCTGATTGCAAGTGTGGCATCCACCAACGTGAGCAACAAATGATCAGAAACTTTCAGGAGTTTAAGATGGAACTTTATTGGCCAAAGCTTTACCTGCACAGGGGTGAACTCTCGAGGTGTCCGGAGACGCGGTGCCCAGAAAGGGCTGCAAATGACAGTCGCGCCTGATACTTACAGCCTAGGGTTTTTATTGGGGTGAGCAAGCAAGCAAATACAGAAGCAGACGTAGCTGTTAGCAATTGGCTATCTCGAGAGGACACATATGGCTATGTTCTCTGCTTGCAACAATGGATACTTTTCTGCAAAGACAAGGTCATGCACAGGCGGGTATCTTGTTCAGCACTCTTTGTACTTTTTGTATTTTCTATCTTCCTTGCTGAGTCTGGAGCCTGCCTCGGGTTCCTTGTTCCTCTTGACTACTTTTATCTAATTCCGGGCCTAACACAAGTAAGGGTGCTTTAGTATGTGTGTTTTGGTTAACTTTGTGGACATTATCATCTAGCTTGTGTAAATTTCACAGCATTCTTATAAATAGTCCACTGTGTTAAAGACTTTTTCTCATGAGGAATCATGTCCTCTGTTGTCTAGGTAGAGGTACTTAGTACTGGCTGTACCCCAGCTAGAATCACCTAAGAAGCTTTTTAAAAAAGAAAAATACCTCTAGAGATTGATTCAATTGATATGATGTGGAAGCCAGCTGTCTTGAAATTTTCAAGTCCCCTGGATAATTCTAGCATGCAGCCAATGATCCAAAGACACAGGAACTTTTTATAGTCTTCTCTCCTTTCTCTCTGCCCCACCCTCCATTCCTCCCACAAGAGCTCTTGGTCAGAAAGTAGTAGAGAACTCGAGAGAAAATTTGTTTTATATTTATACTCTAGTTCCTTTAATGTGATAACCAATTGTGTTAGTCTTCAGAACTAAAGTTATTGAGGGGGAAAGGGGTAGTGGGAGGGCTATTACTGTTTTTTAATTATATATATAAATTTAGAATTTTACTGATTAAAATAGATGTCTGCAGGACTGTATCATAGAGGCTTTTCAGCAATATTTGCCTATTGTAGTATCAACATACTACGTGCTTTTGTATCAACATACTACATGCTACATCCATTTGAATTTGCACACCAAGGAGTGTCACTGACTCTAAAGAATTAATTTTGACACACTAAGTAGAAATAGAAGCATTGGGGGCAGGGATCTTTCATAAAGATTTAAAATGCAAATCATGATAATCAAGGTTATCCTGCTTGCTTCAAAAGTTAAAAGCCTCCACAAAGACGGCCTTGACAGAGCAATCAAAGTATTTCTGCAAAGAACGATCTAGAATTTACAGACATCTGTGTTATAATATTTTAATTGGCAGTGAGTGACTTATAATTTTAATAATTAAAGTTTCAATAATGACACTTGAACATCTCTATATCACATCTACAATGGATTTTAATTATTTGGTTGTATTTCAGTCTTGAATAATTTATCTTCTATTGTTAAAATAAAATTGCATATGATGGATATTTTGGATTGTAAAAATTTGTAACTGGAGACTACATTTAAATTTCTGAGTTGACATTACTGTACAGCTAGATCATTGAGGATACATATAAGTTCAGTAATGAAAATTCACATAATATAAAAGCTTTTCTAGTCCAGTAACTATCATACTAATTAATATCTTGTGGTGGCCACTAACAAGTTAAATATCTGGCTTTGAGTATCGTTTTCTTTTTTTTTTTTTTTAATGTTTTATTTATTTTTAGAGAGGGGGAAGGAGAAATAGGGAGAGAAGCACCAATGCATGAGAAATATATTGGTCTGCTGCCTCTCACACTCCCCCAACTGAGGACCTGGCCTGCCACCCAGGCATGTGCCCTGACAGGAATCAAACTGGCGACCTTTAGCTCTGCAGGCCAGTGCTCTATCCACTGAGCCACACCAGGCAGAGCTGCATATCGTTTTCTTACAATACTAGTATGCCAGTGCACCAGTGCGAAACAACATGCCCAAAGGGAAAAGAACTAAAAAGAGAAGAAATTAAATTATCTCAACACTGTAGCCTTCTAAATAGACTAGTTCATATCACTTACAGTTTATGTATGGAATTAATTTCACTTGTTGTACAAAGTTATAAGTACAATTGTTACAGAAAACAACTCAGCTGCTTTCGGGTGTATGGAGTGGAAGTTTATTTTCACGCGATTGTCAGCTGATTTCTCAAAAGAGACCTTACAGGCAAGAAGGGTCTGGAAAGAAGTATTCCAAGTCATGAAATCTAATGACCTACAACCAAGATTGCTCTATCCAGCAAAACTTTCATTTAGAATGGAAGGGCAGATAAAGTGCTTCTCAGATAAGATCAAATTCAAGGAATTCATCATCACCAAGCCCTTATTATATGAAATGTTAAAGGGACTTATCTAAGAAAAAGAAGTTAAAAAAACATGAACAGTAAAAGGACAGCAAACACACAGTTATTAACAGCCATACATAAAACAAAAGCAAACTAAGAGGACAGCTAAATCAGAAGCAGAACCATAGAAATGGAGATCACATGGAGGGTTAGCAACAGGAGAGTGGGAGGAGGAGGAGAAGGGGGGAGAAGGTACAGAGAATAAGTAGCATAGATGGTAGGTAGAAAATAGACGGGGGGGGCGACAAGAATAGTAGGGGAAATACAGCATCTAAAGAACTTGAGACACATGGACATAAACTAAAGGGGTGGATATGTGGGGGAGGGATAAGGTGCTGGGTGGAGGGAAATGAAGGGGGAAGTGGGACAACTGTAATGGCATAATCAATAAAATATATTTAAAAAAAAAGAAATACACAACAAAAAATCAGAAAACATATTCTCAGGTGAAAAAAGTTAATAAAAATTTTTTAAAAATAAAATTTTAATATTAGCGCCAGTAGAAAGTTTTATTTTTTATAATAATTGTTATAAAGAGTGAGTTTTTAACTATATGAGGCTGGAATTTATGCAGTAATTTATTGTAAATTTTGAAATGCATTTCATTACTTTTGAAGGTAGCCCCTAGATTATAGTTATTCCAGTCGATGCAGAGGAGATTGTTCCCTGGCAGCTGTCATCTGCTGATGCTTTATTTTCCCGGGTGGGCCGATGCAGTTTTTGGGGTTTTTTTTTTAACATTTTGCAATTTTTATTTTTTATTGTTGTTCTATTACAGTTGTTCCAGTTTTACCCTGTTGCTCTCCCCTGCCTTGCCCCACTCCCACAGTCACTCCCCACCCTGTCGTCTATGTCCATGGGTCATTTATACTAACTAGTTTTTGAACTAGGCCCTTCTCCTTCTTTCCTCCCTTATTCCCCACCCCTCCCCCCTGGTCCCTATTAGTTTGTTCCTTGCTTCCATGCCTTTGGTTCTGTTTTGCCCATTTGTTTGTTTTGTTCATTAGGTTCCACTTAAAGATGAGATCATATGGTATTTGTCTTTCACTGCCTGGCTTATTTCACTTAGCATAATGCTCTCCACTTCCGTCCATGCTATCACAATATATATTTCTTCTAACAAGTTCCTGATGCCATATCAAAATCAAATGTTTCTAAGAAAATTAAAAGTTTAATCAACTGAAAGTTTGCATGTTTTCAATAAAAAAGATAATTTTTTACAAATGAACAAGTCTCTGGATGGTAACACTAGAAGTAAGTTTATATATTCCCTTAGTACCATTGCTTACTTCATTTCAAATAGAAGAAACAAGTTCAGGGAAGTCACGGACTTGGAATGAGAAACAGCCTCCTGTAACTGCCCATGTTCTTAGTCTTTTACCAATGCTTCCCAAACTTGTCACTTCCTAGAGATCCTGTTCTATGATCTGCCAGCCTCTTTACCCTCTGCCTGTGCCTAAAATCCTGAATTTTGAAAAACATCATCTATGGAACTGTATTTGTTAGAGAAATTACTGTATTTGGGGTAATCAAAAACAAAAGAAAGTTAGACTTTCTGATCAGTATGAGTTAACCAATAGCCACACTGAATTGATAGAATTTTGGCAAAGAAGGCCTTTTGGGAGGAGAAGTGAATACATTACATAAAGCTAAATTTAGGAAATAATGAAAATGGTTTATAGATTGGCACTAATACAAATCTAATACTTCTTAAAGGCTCAAAGATCTGATGAGCTGTGGGAGCAATCAGGACCCCAGGCATTTGCTATCTTGCAGCTTAAAATCTAGTAGTTATTTGGATGGCTGAAAAAAAAACGAACGTATTTCAGTTTATGTTGAATTGATGCTGTTATTTCTTCTGCTTTTGCACATAGATTGAGTATGAAAGGAAAAAGAAAGAAGATGGAAAGCGAGCTCGAGCTGATAAGCAGTATGTTTTAGACATGCTATTTTCGGCTTTTGAGAAACATCAGTATTATAACCTTAAGGACTTGGTGGACATCACAAAACAGCCTGTGGTATGTAAATGCTCATGTTGACCCTTTAACTGTGTCCTTCTACATTAATAGTGCATTACTGAAGAGAAGTATGTCATATGTAAATAAGTCCACATGCACCTGTGCTAATGTCAGGTTCTATTTCAACACTCAGTAAAGATGTCTTAATGCAGTTTTTTCTAAACATCAGCATCATTATTTTGAATTTTCAAGTGTATTTAATATTAATCACTCCATATGAAGGTGAATTTATCCTTTTTTTTTTTTTACTAATCCTTAACATTAAGCCTAAAATCTTTTTTTATATCATTTCTGGTATTTCTTTTGTTCTCCTAGCTTCCTCCAAAAAAAGCTCAACTCCTCTTGTTAATTGGAAAATGTGTCTTAGAAGAATCATATTTAAACAAGAGTCATATTGGTCTGTCACAGTGAGAGAGAGCTTACTTTTGTGGACTGTTCTCTAAAGAATTTTTATTCCTTTTTTTTTAAAGACTTCATTTATTTATTTATTTTTAGGTAGAGAGGGAGAGAAACATCAGTGTGTGGTTGCTTCTCATGAGCCTCCTACTGGGGACCTGGCCTGCAACACAGGCATATGCTCTGACTGGAAATCAAAATGGCAACCTTTCACTCCCCAGGTCAGCACTCTGTCCACTAAGCCACACCAACCAGGGCTCTAAAGAATTTTTAAAAATCATATCTACTAGCACTAACATTAGATCCTTTTAAACTAGCAGTATTGCCTCATGATGCTTGTTGAGATTGTCGTTAGGTTGGCCTGGTCTCTGTTTTTTTAAGGAACAATTTTAAAAATGGGTGTTTTAAAAATCTTGTTTTTTATATAAATAATCATTTTTATTACTTCTCCAGACTTTTGTGTCTACTTGCTAATAATTTGTATTTCTAATCCATTTAAAACACTGGTAACTGGTAAGGAATCCAAATCCTTTCTCTAGCCTTTGACATTTCCTTCTGTTTATCTTTCTTACACTGTTATCCAAGCCAAGTATCAAATTGAATTATAACAGTATTTACTTACAAGTTTTTTAGGAAAACCTTATATTTACTGTCCTTTTATAATTTGTCTACTTTGCCAATGTACTCAAGGAATATATTATTCTAACTGTCCTATTTATTTGCTTTAGAATATATAACAAGATAACTAGTTTTTAAAAACTTGAACATAACCAAATTACTAACTTATTAAAGGGTTTGGTGCTTTTTTCAGATTTATTCAAAGCTATAGAAAATGATTCATGAAACTTCAGTTTCTCACTTCTGCAGAGATTTCTCTACTGTTGTACTTCAGCCTTCTACTTTTTCATTAAGAAATTAATTTAAATTAAAAAAATGTAGTTTTTTTAAAAGACAACAGGAAAATGCTTATACTGCAGTATTATCAACTCATCTTAGTGACTTCACTCCCTTTGGCATCAAAGCCTTAGAAATGGCATTCCAAGCTAGCAAAAAAAAATTGAAATAGAATAATTTATTAGCTAAGCTGTGTTTCTTATGGTTTTAATGGAGTTTATCTGTGTGTTTTATCTAAATATGAAAAGATCAATCCAAAAACTCTGAATGCAAATGATATATTCTCATAGAATAACACACAAATATGTGTGTGAAATAGACATTTAAAGAGAAACATTCAGAAGGAAAAGAGTTTTTTTGCCTTAACATGGAATGACACGTTTTAAAAGTTTTATTCATCTTGCATCAAAGAAAAGGGATAACTAATAATCTTCTCAATTTTGGTTTTTATAATTTTTATGTGGTGTTACTCAGTGAATTTCTTATAATAAAACTTTCTTTAATTAATGGACTAATAATCTGTTTATTAATATGTTCACAAATGTATGGATTTTTCTGGGGAGCAGATTCATATTTATTTCAGATTCTCATTGAGGGCCTAAGACCCTCAAAAGGCTTTTCATTCCCAGTCAGGGCACATGCCTGAGTTTTGACCGTGAGGGGCTCATCAACTACACATCGATACTTCTCTTCCTCACTTTTCCTTTCCCTTTCCCTCCCTCTAAAAATAGATAAATAAAATTTAATAGATAAATAAAGGTCAAGCTCTGGTAACTGATGTAAAGCCAGAAACATTGTCAGTAAACATTTACAGTTTAAATTTTGAGTCTCTCCTCCCCTCTTTGAGAGTGAAGTATCAGAAGGATTTTATTATTTTTGTCCCCTGACAGTGTTTGTCTGTCGCTCTTAATGTGTTATGTCTAATCTTTCTTTATATTTTATTATATCTTTAAAATAGAAGCATATATAGCATTTCCTTCAAAATACAAACCAATAGAAACTTTATCTAATTGTTCTCTTTGAAACATTAAACTGTCAAGACCCTTTGAGTACTAACATACTCTTTTCTAGCACAGAACCCATTTACTAGTGTTTCTATTAAAAATGTCATCCAAAATCATCCCTGATAATAACTGAACCAGTTAATTTCCTTGTGCTACATGCATTGAATTTCAGGTCAAGATTTAAACAAACTTATCTTTAATTATTGATAATGTCCTTTAAATCAACAGTCCCTAGTCATGTCAATTGAGTAGATCTCTTTTTCAAATTCAGAATGTTAACTGAACAGTTTGCATGCTCTTATTAAAGTAAGTTCAAATCAACAGGAAAAACTAGGCAAAGATTTCTATGGCTTTGATTTTGAGGCAGCTTGATTCCCATATGTCAAATTCCCCAACTCAGCAGGCTGTTGCTTATTTACACAAAGTAGGCTTTTAATAAAGTAGTGCATCAGTAATGTAACATTAAGTAATCCTCATAGTTTGTCTTCAGAAAGGCCAGAGTAAAGGCTTAAGTACAAGTAATTTAATTTTTTTATTAGATTTTTTTTAGATTCTATTTGTTTATTTTTGGATAGCAAGGAAGGGCGGGAAAAAGAGAGGGAGAGAAACATCAATGTGCGGCTGCCTCTCACATGTCCCCTACTGAGGACCTGGCCTTATATACCCTGGACTGGGAATCAAACCGGCAACCCTTGGTTTGCAGATCCATACTCAATCCACTGAGCTACACCAGCCAGGGCTTAAGTAGAAGTAATTTAAACAAATCAGGAAGATGGGGGATTTTTTTAGGATAAAATGACTAGAATATTTGAATATTAAGAATTTCTCCTGTGAAAAAAATAAACTTTTATTTGTAAGTATATGCTATTCTTGATTTGTGAATTCGTTAGGACTCTTAGTTGCAAGAAATAGAAACTCAGCTTGAACTAGTTTAACCAAAAGTAGAATTTATTGGCTTCATTAGCTAAGAAGTTTGGGAATGCATCTAGCTTTAAACATGACTAGATCCAGATACTAATATTATTTAGATAGAACTGTCTCTTCCCATCTCTCCACATCTCTCTTCATCATTCTGTGTTTCTTGTGCATTGTTTTTATTCTCAAAGACAGGATCTTCCCATGTGGTAGCCAAAATGATCCCCTAAAGCACCTCATAGCTAGCAGCCTCTAAGCAAAAAGAAACTATCTGCCCCGATTATTCCAATAAAAACCCCAGTGAAGATCTTACTGATGTGGTAGGGGTGTTATGTTCATTCCTAAAACAAGAGGATGGCACAGGAATACTCTGCCAGCCAGGGCCCACTGCCTGGTACCTAATCAATGTTAATAATTTTATTGTAATTTCCAGTTTAGTGTGTTCAAAACACAACTCTTGATTTCTGCACCCCTCCAAAGCTTACCCCGGATTTCTCCATTTAAAGTGACACCATCGTTCCACAGTTGCTCAGACCAGGTGCCCCATCTTCCTGTATCCTCACACATTTATATATACATACATAGATAAACGCACACACATGTCTCAGGATTTTTTTTTTAAGATTTTATTTATTTTTATTTTTTAGAGAGGGGGAAAGGAGGGAGGGGAGAAACATCAATCAGTAGCCTCTTGCATGCCCCCAGCAGAGGACCTGGCCTGCAACCCAGGCATGTGCCCTGATGGGGAATCAAACCAGGAAATTTTTGGTCTGCAGGCCAGTGTTTAGTCCACTGAGCCACCCCAGCCAGGGCTTGACTTGGGATCTTGAAGGCAGTGGTAACCTTTCTAATTTAAATAGCTAGCAAATAAGAGTTGCGTAGTAGTTTGAACGCAGTTGTCCTGACTTCAGTCTAGGAATATCTCTTACCATGTTGCCTCTTCTACATTCAGATAAATAACTGTGTGTGACAAGCAAGGAAAATATTTTTCTAACACTGGGAATCTCTTTTTAATAAAAATTTTAAAAAGCTAATCTCTCAGGCAGCTTGCTTTCTAATTTCTCTGTTATTAAGAATCATCATCATTAATCTAAACCAGGTACATAGAGAATGGAATTTAAGCTTTATTTTAGTTCATTTAGCTCCTAATCCACAGTAAAAATAGATATTTTTAAGTGTTAGAAACTCATTCCAAATTTAGTACTTAATAAATGCTGTTTTCTCTTTTTTCCCCTAAATTTTTATCATTTGCTTTCTTTTCAGATATCTTGTGTCAGTTCTCTCTTCGTTTTCCCTATAACTGAAAGTTTTTGTTTTTCTTTTTTTTTAAGATTTTGTTTAATTTTAGAAGAGTGGGAGAGAAACATCAGTCAGTTGCTTCTCTCAGGCCTCCAACTGGGCATGGGCCACAACCTGGGCATGTGCCCTGACCAGGAATTGAACCAACAACATTTTGGTCTGCGGTATAATGCCCAACCCACTGAGCCACACCAGTCTGGGCTGGAATTTTTTTTAAATTATTGTGTATTTATTATGCTATTATAGTTGTCCTAATATTTCTCTTTTTCCCCCTCTACCCAACATTCCCCACTATCTCAGGCAGTCCACACACCATTGTTCATGTCCATGGGTCATGCTTGTAAGTTCTTTGACTACTTCACTTCCTATACTGTACTTTACATCCGCATGGCCATTCTGTGACTACCTATATGTACTTCTTAATCCCCTCACCTCTTCACCCATTGCCCCACAACCTCTTCCATCCATCAACCATCAAAACACTCTCCATAT